CAGATGGCGGATGCGCCGAGAGACGCACTTGCTTAATTAATGAAAGCGACGTGTGATAGCGATTCGTAAACAATATCGAAAAGAGTGCGCGGTGCGGTGAAGGGGGCAGCGGTCGCGACCGCGTTGCGTCGTGCTGTGTTTTACGATCGCGCGTACGGCACTTTCACGGATCGCGGCCGCGTTCGAACGAGCGGAAATCGTCGGTGGATCCCCGCGGTGAAGAGTTTCCTTAATTGTGTGAAGAACGCGAGCCGCACAATGACACGCCAAGTATTGCACTGATCGTTACACGATCGCCGGAAGCGATCGATCAGCGAACGCGATCAGCACGATCGTCTTTCTCCTCCAGCCTGCGAAAGCCGAAGCTTTGCGCCGGCTCGCGATTTCAGTCGAGTCCCGAGTTAAAATTTTAGTCAAACATTAAGTTTCCAAATGGAGACAACGGTAATAACTCCCTATTTATAGTATCAAATGAGTGCAATAGTGTCCCTTTGAAGACTTAACGTAGAACTAAAATCTGGATTCGGGTAACACGAATTGAAATTTCGACGCTATTACTTATACTTTTACTATATTTTTATTATTATTACTATTATTAATATTTTGACGCTCTTGAAAATAGTTTGCGTCTATTTAGATGGCTTATAGAATAATAAAAATCTACTTTGACGGCACTGTTGTTAACTTCTTTCTTTCACCTTTAATCCTACAGATTTGATTTCGATACTACCTCGAGCAACCTATTTCGATGCTAAAACAGTGAGAATGGAAATTTATGACATCATTAGGGTTAAAGTGGGAGTAAATTAAATTACTAGAATTGAAATTGTGCGAACCTGTTTTGCTATCTTAACTCCAAGCATGTTGAAGAATTAAGATTTTTAGATAGAGTTAAAATTTCGACTCTCGGAAACGATAAAATAAAATTAACACGTTTCGAGCTTAATTATACGCGACTTCTTAAAGAACGGTAATCCGTTGTCCTCTTATAGGTCGAATTTTGTTTGTCAAATAACGTGCGTCTCACAATAAAATGTCATTTCATGTTTACATATCGTTTTGGAGTCGCAATATCAAACTGGCCTGAATGGAACTGAACGAAATCTGGCCTGAATGGAAAATTCAGCGTATCTACGTGGCAGCGAATGTATCGGGTGTTAGTGTGAGGAAAATTCGTCACGCGTTTCCTTCTGATATTTTCCAATCCGACATCGTCACGCGCCTAGAGCGAAACGTGACGAATAGCAACGTGTTGTTCGCCGGATTAACTCGACTTTGTTGTTTATTTATCGCATGTTCGCATATGCTTTGAACGCGGGACGGAAGATTGTGCCAGAACGTCGCTGGCAGTTTCCTCTCGGCGAAGCCGAGCCGCGACACAATGGGGCGGATATTTAGAACAATGCAATGCAAGGGTCACGTAATTGCGTTTTGGCTCTCTGTTTTATCTGTACACTCGGGGCCATGTGGATCCACGTGGATCCACGTGCCACGTGCGGCGCCACGCGATGGCATACACGTAACGGCAGAGAACGGAGGTATCTCATTGTTACATTGCAAGCTGCCTGACATGTACAAAATTACGATGTATGCGATAGCACGTGGAAACAAGACGAGCAATGTCGCGCATGGCGCACGTAGCCGATCGCCACGGATTCTCGATTCGACAGCGATATGAAATTGAAATTATAATTATGAAGTTATTGTTATTATATTACACGAAAAAAATAATTCCATTGGTGTAACTAAATCTTTCGTTACCCGGGGATTGGACGAGAGTTCGGTTGTCGGAATAGAAAGATTTCTGAAGGTTTTTATTCGATTAATTGCTCTCTGTTGTCTCAATCGAATTTTAATGTGGCTAAATGTTCACACGAATGTTCTGAATCGCGATAACACAGATATTTCCTGCCATTGAGTTATTATTTCTCGTCACCGAGTTTTCATCTGGTCCTCATTGAATTGCAGAACTGAGTTATTTCTTCCGTGTAATTTCTGACTCACTCGAACATCGCTGTTGTTATTCTCTCTGTCTCGTTTAAATAAAACTAAAATGCACTCCTCGTGATATCGAGGTGACGGTATTCATTAATTTACAATTACGTCGATTACAAATTAATTATGACCGATTAACCCTTTCGCGGCGAACAGCGCCTTTAGGCGCTCAGCTATAGATTCTCATTCTCAGCGAACAGCGCCGTTCGGCGCTCAGGCAAATTTACCCGCGGTGAACGAACAGCGCCAGATGGCGCCCATCCGAAGCCGCTCTTTTCGTATGAAGGCGCTGTTCGTTTGTTATCAACAACTGCCATTAATGTCCATTAAGTTGTTTTTGACGTGCTAGCAGCATACGCTTCTTGTGCAAAGGTTTTTTTTACATAGTCAAATATTATATACACACTGCGTTCGGAACGACTCGCGTATTTGGTCCGCGCGGTCGATCTGGCATCGGCTGCTTAGAGCGCAACTCTTTCCAGAGCACTCCGCCGCGAAAGGGTTAATGAACACCTATTAAAGTCTGGGAGATTATTGAAATGGGGGATTAATGAGCTGACGGCATAATTAGATCTCGGATCGCTGTATATGGAATTTCGTATATTTTACTACGGTTTTACTCGGTGTTTCTCGGTGAAAATGTGTTCCGCTGGACGACCAAATTCGATCGTAGAGCTCGTAACCATATTCTGGTCGTTGCCCTTTTCACGGCGCCGAACGTCGCGACGCAGACTCTATCGAGGTTGGACACTTAACCGTTCCAAAAATCGATAGAAAGCTACATCAACGAAGCGAGAGGAGCCTCCACTCGGCCAAAAATTGCACGAATGTGCCGCCGCGTGTTACCGCATTATTTTTAGGAACGACCAGGATTGCCTCAAGATTCGCGGCATCCTCGCTCCATTTTATTTCGCTACCTCGTACATTGTTTCTACGTTTCTTTTTTTAATAACATCCCATAAGCAAATACAACGTAGCATGTAACATATCTGTTAGTTGTAATTTCCTATTCAACAATGTGACTATTATATAATGCATATGTTATGTATCAGTTACATTATTGAGCAGAAAATTACAATTAACAGGTATGTTACATATTACACTCTGTTCACTGGGATAATTTGTGTCATAAATAGTACGCAAATTAACCACAAAGAATATTTATTTTTTGTTGTAAAATTACCTAAGAAAAAGGTGCGAAGAGACCTTTTCAAAAAATAATCAATAGATATTAGGTTACATACGTTCTACAAGAAGTCACTCGGCGAATAAATGAAAAAGCTTATCGATGCGTTTATGAATTTACCGACTGCTGCGTGTTTACCGACTGTTTCAAACTGTTTCGAAGCATACGTTCGTTGATAAGACCGTCAGCTGTGGTCGATATTTCCCTCGAATATACACGTAGGTTATCATGGAACAATTCCACCGATGGACAATAAGTCCATCGGTGTAGTCGAAGAAAATGATCAGAGAACGTTTAAACGCGGAGTTATAGATGTCACATTGGGAAAAAGACGATAAATTTCGAACAATTTCCAATCGAGAGCTTCTTATCCGCGTATAATCCGATATCTAAAATCATATCGTTATTTCGGTAATAATACAAATGAATCTACTTCCTAACTAAAGTAATACTCTCATATTGCATTAATTGTTACTTATTTCCTTTCTATGGTCGAATAATATTTTATGATCCTCCCACATTATTATACGTATGAAGTTCGTATTTCACGTATCTCAATCCGAAGCATTTTTGGGCGCCATTACTGTGTCGTAAATTCAATCGCGTCTAACAATAGTCATTCTCGGCGTTCTCGAGTTATTTCCAGAATTAGCGAGTCTCTTATGTTACCAGATACAAAGAAGATTGCTGGATATCAAGGCTCACCCAATACTGCAGGCGTTCAGCAGCCATTGTCGACAGCATTCTCAGCATAAAAGAACACCGATTCTTCCCTCCTTCCGATCCTTCGAAGCCGAATGAGTCAACTGAACATAGACGCATAACAACTAGACCGCGCAGTCTCATATCTTCCTTTGTTTGAACATGTCCGAAAGTAGAAAGAGATAGTTGCTATACGGATACAATTCCATCTTTTTCTAAAGACGTGTAGGTAAAGAATCCTTTCATAGTGGGACTAAAATCTCCATACATTATCAGACGAAGACAAAATGATGCCCGTATAGCAATTATCTCTTTCTAATATTTGACAACTTTTCAACTGAATGCACAGTCTGGTTATTATACGTCAATGTAACTGAACTCGTTCGACTGGCGCGCATTCCAAACTCGACTGTCGAGTTCGACCCGCGCAGCACAGATGTCACTGAGTTCTGTTTCCGATACACTTGCAGTGGTAGGTCACTACTTGATACGATCGACCGAACGACAGCTGCGGACTTTTTTCAACAGTGTTGATCGACGTCGATCAGCAGTTGTGTACGATCATGGCCCCTGCGGTATTTACTGCTTCCGGAATTAGTAAGTTCGATGTGATATTTGATTGAAATCTCTCTCTCTTTCTCTCTCTCTCTCTTCCTTCCTCTTTCTTTCTCTCTCTCTCTCTCTCTCTCTTTCTCTCTCTTTCTCTCCGTGTGTAACATCGCTGCGATATACATTCCGAAGCTCGGTAACTGTTTTGATTAAATCTCAGATGATATCTCCGATAACGGAATAATTTATAAACATCGTATCGGTCTCGAGAGATAGATACTCGAGTGGAGCAACCATTAATTGGACGATCATATGTTATGTAATATCGTCAAATAAAATTAGACATAATGTGTCGTATAATTATATGCAGATACATAAGTTTTTCATTATTTAATACATGATTTGAATCGTATATTTGCGCGCACCATGAATACAAATGTGTGTTATTTAGAATAAATGCTGTTATTTTGACACAGGCCAAACTTTCTGTTTTGTGAATGCCGATCGTTAAGCACGAGCGATTTAACGATCAACGTGTTTATTACGTGTGATGGGTATAGTATGAAATAATATAAATATACTTGTACTTCGTCCTCACGCCATGTGTCTCTCTGCACTTGACCTTTAGATCGTTCCATTTCTTTTCATGATTTTGAAGTTAAATTATTTTTATTCCAGGTACAAGAAATATGAAAAGAACAGACAAGAAGAAAAATAAATTTGTAATCTGTTAGCAAATATTTATTTTTATTATTAATAGAAGTATGTTAAATTTGATAATTTATTCTAAAGAGAAAACAAATGACTTGTGAAAACGCGATTCTTTTCGAGGTTAGAGTTCACGATCGAGATATCGATAAATTATAATCAGCTTTAAGTAGGGGCAATAAATTAAAAACAATTGTATTTATATAATAAATATAACTGTACGTATATATTTTATTCGTTTATTTGTACATATTATGTTAGAAAAATATATTTTCTTATGTTCTACTGCACTTTTGAAATATGAATATGCAAAACTGTTGCCATTATAACATTTTGACGTAACCATATATTCTCTAGTTTAATTGTGATTGTTTTTTTTTTGGTAGTACAGAGGTTACAAAGAGTCGTCCAGAGAGCTTACTCGGACGCCAAGTTTCCTCAGATTACGACTCATTACACAGTGGTGCCTAGAGAGACGGATCCAAGATGGAAAGGTAAATTTTTTCTCAGCTTTTATTGTTTATATAGATAATACAGATAGTGTTTTCAAGATGTCTTCTTTGTGTATTAGAAATAAACATGGAGAGGTATGTGGACGAGACCGACATTCTCATTGTTGGTGGTGGGCCGGCTGGACTATCAGCAGCTATTCAGGCTCGTAGACTGGCGGAGAAGCATGGCAAGGAACTCAGGATTACTCTAGTCGAAAAAGCATCCACCATTGGTGGACATATCCTCAGTGGAGCTTGTTTAGATCTGGTAGCTTTGAATGAATTGTTTCCAAACTGGAAAGAGCTGGGTGCACCGCTAAATACTCCTGTAACAGAGGACAAATTTGCTTTTCTTACTGAGAAGAAGAGGATATCCATACCTATTTTTAAAGGAATGCCAATGTACAATCATGGGAATTATATAGTAAGGTAAGGCAATGCGAATGGTCTCATAAATAAACGAGCAATAACAAATCTGTGTTTTGGCACTAAAAGTCTGCATCTATGTATAGATTAGGACACGTTGTGACGTGGCTTGGCGAGCAAGCAGAAGCCGCTGGTGTCGAAATATACTCCGGCTATGCAGCGGCAGAAGTTCTATATCATGAAGACGGATCTGTCAAAGGGGTGGCCACGAACGACGTTGGCATTGCCAAAGACGGCTCGCCCAAGGATACGTTCGAACGGGGCATGGAGCTTCATGCGAAATGCACCATATTCGCAGAAGGCTGTCATGGTCATTTGACGAAACAAGTATCGAAGAAATTCAATCTCAGGAAGGATTGTGAGCCGCAGTCCTATGGCATAGGGTTGAAAGAGGTAGCTATGTAGTACAACTTACTGAGCTGTACTTCAAAATTGCGAATAATGCGAACTTATTCTAAAGCGAGATGTGTTTCTCGGTAGATTTGGGAGATAGAGCCGGGCAAACACAGACCCGGAGCAGTCGAGCATACAGTCGGCTGGCCACTCGACAGGAATACATATGGTGGGTCGTTCCTGTATCATTTGAACGAAGAAACACCTTTGGTCGCTGTAGGCTTCGTGGTAGGCTTGGATTATAGCAATCCCTATCTGCATCCGTTCAAAGAGTTCCAGAGATTTAAGCAGCATCCAAGTATCAGACCAACGTTCGAAGGGGGAAAAAGGTCAATATCTCCATTAGATACGGATAACGATGTACTTCGGAAATGTACGGATACAGATATTTTTCATGCTCTTCATGTTCGCTCTATTACTAATTGCAGGATAGCTTATGGCGCTAGAGCCTTGGTAGAAGGTGGCTTCCAGTCCATCCCCAAACTCCAATTCCCCGGCGGTTGTCTCATCGGATGCACGGCTGGTTTTCTGAATGTGCCAAAGATTAAAGGAACGCACAATGCCATGAAGAGCGGCATGTTGGCCGCAGAAAGCGTCATCGACGCGATCGTCGACGCGGAAAGTAACACTTCGTCGACGGAGGGATTGGAACCAAAGACGTACACGGATAAAATCAAGAGTAGTTGGGTCTATAAGGAACTGAAAGCCGTGAGAAATATGCGACCAAGCTTCCACTCCTCTCTCGGCTTATATGGCGGTATGATGTACTCTGGTTTCTCCATGTTATTGGGCGGAATAGAGCCGTGGACTTTCTCACATGGAGGTAAACGTCGAAATTGTTTCACTGCGAGACTCGAAGAGATCTTGAGATATGAATTATAAATGATTTGGAAATGTTCATATCTCATGTTACAGGTCCTGATCACACGAAATTGAAGTCCGCAGCTGAGTCCACGCCCATAGAGTATCCTAAGCCCGACAACGAAGTATCCTTCGATCTTTTGTCGTCGGTGGCTCTCACTGGCACTAACCACGAAGCTGATCAACCGGCCCATCTAACTTTGAAGGATGACACCGTTCCAGTGAAGAGAAATCTGGCACACTTCGGCGGTCCAGAAGGAAGATTTTGCCCCGCTGGTGAGTCATCTTATTGCATGCTTGTACGTCAATTCTTACATGATTATGCATGATTACAGGCTGGAACATTTTAACCAAATCGGACAAATGTCTCTGTAACTTCAACTTAGAGATATTTGATTGAAATCACTCACCCTATATACATTAATTGTCCTTTCAATGTATTGTAAGAAATAATATCGTTTGTCGATCCAACATTAATTGTATGTTGAGTAAATTTTGTCTTTTATGTGACTAATAGCTTGAGTTAATCAGCCTTGTACATATTTCATAATTATGCTATGGTAACCTTTCTTTTCACGTCGGTGAGTGTACATGTCTGAAAAAATCTAAAGAATACATTTTCCTGCGAAAGTTGAATAAGATATATGCATGCACATACAGCATATTACATTTATATTTATCTCTGCATTTTATCACCTCGTTCATGTCATTTTTATAACATTTATTTTTAGTGAGTCTAATTGTGTTGTATATATTTAATTTGCTTCAAAATTCGAAGTATCAGAAAAAAGTTTTTGGTTGAAGGAAATATATTGAATTGAAAACTACCTCCAAAAAAAATTATATTTAAACATTTTCATTATTATTTGCATATCAACTTACATTTGCAACATATCACATAAATCAGTATTTCAATATATATCCTTTTTACGATTGTTCTTGTTTCTTATAGTTGTGTTATTTAAATCGTTTAATACGTTAGACAATGGATTCTCGTTGCGTGAGTGTTGGAACCGCTCATTAATATTAAAAGTAATTCGTTCAAGAATGTCTCACGCTATTGGCGCAAACAGAGAAACTCGGCACGCTCACGATGAATAAGTAGCACATTTACCGCATTGCGGAGCTTGATATTCAGCCAGTGTAATTTTACGCCCAACACCGCCCTTGATTTATCTTGTTTTTAAATATCTAACGCGAATGACTATGAGGCAATTCATCTTGCGTTTTTCCCTCGTAATTAAATTGCCCGCTATATATTCATTAAGCCGAAGCTAACTCCATCTTCTAAATATGTAATCTGTCGTATCTGCAACGCGAGTTCCGATTTTCAACACTCGCATGTTGCGCACAGTTTTATCGATTACTGCGCAAAACACTTGTCGTTCTTTGCGAAAATTCGGCCAACGCGAGAAAAAAGGAGAAATTATTCAGCGTTCCGACGATATTATTACAACGTGATCAATTCCATCGGCGATACATTTCCGCAATCTGCAGGCAATCCAGCTCCTTCCTCTTCCGCCCCCAGCCACGTCTCCCCCCTTTTTCCAGTCTTGTCGGGGGTTTATCGACAGGTGTGTCCTTGAACCTGAGCCGCCCGGACAACCCCCGCATGGCTAAACAACCCCGGACCAAGCTCAACCCCCGAAATTGAACAGCGCCCTGCAGCCATCTCCGGCCAACAACCTCCGCCCGTCAATTTATCCTTTCTCGCTGTCCCACGTATTCTATTATTAATTCTGAAACAATGCAGAAAGTGTACTCCAAGTCAGTTTGAAATACTTCTATAATTAATTGTTGAATTTGTCGCGCGTTAACAAGTTTTTGCAAAATCCGTCCTATTATTGTACAGATGGAAATAGTCGTTTGTCATGGAGGAACTGAATCACAGTAATCGTATTAGTCATACTTGTCAGTGCTATTGACGAAATTTTGAGTGTAACATTTCATTTATTTGAATAATTTTACGTCGCTATTTTACGCCGGCATTTTCGCCGTCATCAAATCCGTCTTTTGCGAATAGAGTAAATCATCACTCAGGCGGGAATGTAATTCCAGCGTCGCGCGTAATCATGAGGCAGTTGTGATCATACTCACAAGTTTAATAACATAATCTTGTGGGAAGTCGGCGAGGTGTTTCTGCTGCAATATCAGAAGTTCAGAGTCAGCTCGCACATAATGGATAGCCAGCGGGTGGAAGGGTGGAATTAAAGGCACGTAGTCGGGAATGGTAGTAAGACTGCTATATTATTGCGAAAAAGAGCATTAACGTGCTCGTGTAACAACTTGTTTCTCGTTTCACACAGTGTTTTTTTCGGGTACGACTCTCGTAACTTTCATTGCTTGGCATGCTAAATGTGTTGGTCGATGTTTTCAGAATAAATTTTGTGTTTGATTTCTAGTTTTTGTGTGCTTCTCAGTTTTTTCATCTGTAATTCAGCTGTGCATGTATCTATAATTTACTCATATGATTATTCGAAAAGGAGAAGAATAAGCGCTTAAGATACCACCGTCGAAACTTGTGTAATCTGCTTTCAGGTGTTTACGAATTCGTGCCGTTAGAAAACGGCGACGGCGAAAGGTTACAGATCAATGCGCAGAATTGCATTCATTGTAAGACTTGCGACATCAAAGATCCGAGCCAGAACATCAATTGGGTTGTGCCCGAGGGTGGCGGCGGGCCAGCCTACAACGGCATGTAAAATAGATCAGTAATCTGTTCGCTTCCAAGTGTTCGATCGTGTATTGTTCGACAATGTACTTTCAATATCTTGATTCGGCATGAATCTTATATACTTTACAGAGACGTAGGATATTTCATGACATCTTAATCATATTTTCAAACGTGCGAATCATGTTTCAGGCACGTTCAACTATAATTCGCAACGATTTGTAATTTAGGTTTGTACCATTATGGTATATATATAATTATTTAATATATAGCGTGAGAATAGAGAAGTTATTTCTAGTTGGGATGGTTAATACGATTATAATATTAACTCTGTTTGAGAGAGAAAGAAAGAGGAGGAGGAGAGAGAGAGAGAGAGAGAGAGAAGGGGGAGGGGGAGGGGAGACAGAAAAAAATATAGACGCGATCGGTCTATTTTTTTTTTCTATCCATTCTCGCGCGCACACGTCGATTTTTAAACTGTATATAAATAACTCTTTGTCCATCAAGGCAGTTTGCAAGATTTATTGTTTGCCAGGGTAACAGTTATTGAACTGTACACGTATCGTCGAATAGATTGCGGATATCACACGGTACATTAAATTGATGAAAGCTTTGAAAATGTTGGTGCACCTTTTGTATGATATATTTTTTAAGTGAAATGTTTTCTCAACGCGAGGAAGGTTTTGCACAAATTGATATACACGTATTATTGTAAATATTAGGGGGACCGGAAAGTAATGTCGCTTTCTTAAGTTAAATTCACACGACTACATTTTTAACAAGTTTTATTTCTAATCAACAATATATTCACCTTCGTTATCAACAACCTTTTGCCATCTAGTATACAAATTTTCAATGCCGGATCGGTAAAAATCAATCAAATCAAATATCGACATGCGCAGAAACGACATTACTTTCCGGTCCCCCTAATATATATAATTTATAAAGGTGCATATATAACAGGAAAGAAACAAGCAAATACGCATACGACTGTTATTAGTTTTAAACTAATTTGTATAAATGAAAATTTAGAGAAATTTCGACTTGCATATTATATTTTTATACAAGAGAAAAAATGAAATATACATATACATTATATATATATTTACAATCCAGTTTGTTGACAGGGAATGTAATTTTTCCTTCGTTTTCATTTTCTCTTTCGCAAGTAATTTACTTCACATCCAAGCCTCTGTTCCTCTTTCTCCTAAATGTTTATCCGGTTGAAAGGATGAAACGCATTCCCACTCGTTTTGAAGACCCAATATTGTCCAATCTCGCTTCTTTCTGTGCGATTATCATTTACGTTTATTTTTATTTATTTTACGTTTATTATTTACGTTTATTAATTACGTTTATTATTTATTTATTTTTTCATATGATTACGTTTAATTAGCAATTTAATTAGCATTTGGAAAATATTGCAGTCGCTGTCGGATGCAACGATAGTCCAATATTATCGAAATATCGTGGATCAAAATTGTTAATTTATCGATATTGATAAAATATTATTAATATTAATAAAATATTGTTAAGTTAACTGATATTCAGATCGATGACGTACTGATGTTTCGATATTATCGGACTATCATTGCATCCCTGGCAGAAATTATGATGATTGTGTAGTCGATATGTCGATAAAATTTCCACGAAATTTTTTCGATTCATTATGTAAAAAAAAAAGAAAAATTAGCTTTGCACTAAATGTGCCTCAGATCGTTGATAAACCACAATTCTTCGAACAATTCAGGATCGCCATTTTTAGGCCCTCCATATTGCCGGTCAGATAGAGATAATGTGTCAGGAATTGTTGGAAATCCCGATAGCCGAGGACAAGCACGAGTCGCGCATAGCTACGTTGAGAGCTCTCGCGAACAGGCATCAAAGGATCATTGCATTCGCGGACAGTGTTGAGAATGTGTTCTGCTATGCGGGGCTGATGCAGTTTCTCACAAATACGCTCGTTATTTGTTTTTTAGGATTCTTGATTGTGACCGTGAGTAAAATCCGATATTCTCTTTCCGAACAATATTTTGCAATTTCTCCGAGTGATCCAATTCTAAATCGCAGTCGCACGATTCCAACGAGGTGCTGATGAAGGCCATTTCTTATTACGTCGTTGTGAACGTAGAAGCGTTTGTGCTTTGTTACACCGGCGAATACCTCAGCTCGAAGGTGAGAAAGCGCGATGGAGCGAGATTAATTATTTTCGTGCCGCTTGTTCAGTGCCAAACCATCGGCCGATTGATTTTGGAACTTGTTTAACATGAATCGCGTTCATATCAATGGAATAAGGTAACAGATAGTGGAATTGACACGGGAATGTAATTATCGAGTTCATATGATCATTCAACATTGTCACGTAGGAATATTATGGTAAAGATACTCATTTAGAAAGATCTATTATGATTAACATGTTTCGTGCTACGTAAGCCACTAGTGAACTTTTCATTTTAGTCGTTTGATATTTTAGTTCTAAAATGAAATATAATTATACAAAGATCTGTCGTGATTAATAATATTACGTAAAAAGATCTATCGTGAAACATTATTTCTGAGCAAGTCTATAAGTCAGTCCGCATATGCGTCACTTTGGTACGAATTAAGGCCTACTGAGAGTAGAATTCTGAAGCTGCTGATACTGAGATCTCAGAAGCAACCGGCACTAACAGCCGGGAAATTTGTAGATTTATCTCTGGAGAGTTTCGCAAGCGTAAGAAATCCTTTCTTCGTGAGAATAGCGATACGATTGAATATCGGTGTTTAAACACCGAGAATGAAGTTCATCATTCGTGATTAAACTTGTCGAAATTGTCAAATACATGGTTTTCTTCTTGTAGATCCTGAAGGCCTCTGCGTCTTACATGTCGGTGTTACGCGCCATGTATTAAAACGCAAACTTGTATAGATTCTATACAAGTGTGAAATGCGATTTGACAAAGTGCCCAGCGAATACTTCGAGTCGAAGTAAGAACGTGTACAGAAAATTATAAACTAATTTTTGAAAAGATTATGCACACAGATGTACTTTCCTATATATCCATCTTTATTTTTTGTACTTGTTTCATTTGTAGGAAACTACAAGACAGGTGTACTTAGACATTTGTGTTGTTTCGGACGTTCGTCGATACAAGACGCTTTATCAATCGCATGCACTAATCAACACCTCTTTTCTCGAGTAGCACCATGCTACTACGTCATTGTACACACAAATACGTCAGTTTGTAATGGTATGTTATAGGTTTATTTTGGACGACTTCTAATCACCGGGATCACCCCGAACTTCATTATTCGTGTGTTCGCACGCATGCATTTCCAAAATTGCATACAATTTAATATCTTGAACTTATCGTCACCGTTGCATTTCTTTATGTATTCCTCGAAATGTATTCGAACCGATCTTCCACGAAGATCCGCCACTACATACGGAAAACTTTCCGTAACTTTTCTCGACGATGGTCACACCGACGATCTTTACTCGCACAAGTGTACAACCACATTTTCCTTCTTTCCTTGCATTTTTAAAGTAAATCACCCGCGATAACTACGATCAGCGGCTCGCTCAGCTCCCGGAAGTTACCACCAAGTATCATTCTCGATCCCTCGTTCTTCCCGAAGTCTGCAATCATTCTTCGATCGTCGCAAACTTTTTTCCACGCATTCCTAAGTATGTAATGAAAATATATGCCTAACGTTTGCGACTGGTCGTCGGCGGCCAAGGTGGGGCCCGCATCCGATCACCCATGTTATTATTTTTATGCTTATTCTCCGATGAATGTCCGACGTTCCAAACAAAGCCACGTTCAAAAACTCGCGTCTAGCTCGTTCGTAGACGTAGCGGAAGCGGAATCTCAACCTAGCGCGATGATACCGACTAGCACTCTCAGTCGACCGGTAAAAATCGGCCTCCGTCTCACCGGCGTGTGGCCAAATTCTTCGGTCCTGTTCAAGCTGCTCTGGACATCAGTGATGGGAACAATACTGATCTTCCAGTATCATTACATTCTCAATCACTTCAGCTCCGACGATCTGTCGAATTTGATTGACGGTTTGAGCACCACCTTGCCGTACAGCCTTTTGTTTTTCAAACTGGTCGTCCTGTGGATCAACAATCGGTATGTATTTCCCGTTCTATTTGTTATTTGTTAAGGACGCTAATGTTCTATGGTGTTCGTGAAAACTTGAGATTCTCAAAGGTTAACGTTGACTGCCAAACGAGATAATTCTACGTCCATAGTATTCCGCGACTTAATCCATTAACGGCCAGTGTCTTATTTATGGAACGCTTCTCTTCCGCTTCCTAACTACAATCATTTCATTAACCTCTTCAGGGATGAATTTAAAATTTTTGATTTATAACAACGATTATTATTAAATTTCAAAAATTTGTGTAATTATAAATAACGGTAATTTTTAAATGAAACTACACGTACACATATGTGTCAATATTCCTGAAGAGGTTAATATACACTAAAGAAAAGAACAGCTGTATCGATGAAATTACTTTTATTTAAAAAATATTGTGCCCACTAAACAAATTACGCGTTGATGTAACAATTGCGTTGCATTGATATAGTTGCTAACCAAGTCACAATCATTGAATCGATTGATAACTCGTTATAATTGTATGATTTGTTTAATGGATTAGATGTGCTTGAACAAATTTTGTTCGTTTAAATAAAATTTCATTGAGTCTACTACTTTTTTTTTGTCAGAGTACAATTCTATTTTCATTTATATTACGTAATTCTCAATTACATTCATACTATAAGAAAAGTAATTCTAATACCAATCTGAGACATTTAGGCTCTAAATAAACTGATACCTTAATTAAAAATATTCATGAAATAACTGTGATCTTTAAGGGGATCCTGTAGAGTCCTCCTGTTTTACTGCAAATTTGTTAATATACTCATTACTGGTTGCGCAGAATTAAAAATCCATTTGCATAATTACAATACTTACATTACTTACATGTGAGGATGATTGATTTTATCCGAAAAATGTAAGAAATGTTTATAATTTCTTAATTTTTTCGTTCGCCTTAATGGGTGAATGCTTTATTTTTTTCTTCATTCGTTAAATTATTCTGAGGTAAAGATTAAATTAATTAAAGTTATAAATTTATTATAACTTAATGATATAAAATTTAGAAGCTGAGATATATAAGGTCTAGTAAAAAGTAATCCATTATTTTTGTATCAAATTGGAGGTTTTATTTGACATAGTTATAATGATCCGATTTAGGTCAAATATGCACCGTTTTGTTCGATGACTTGTTGCCATTTCGAAGGTAATTTCATTATGCCTCTCTCATAGAAACCCTCGTCCCTATTGGCAAAAAACTGGGAAAGTCGATTTTCACAAGCTTCTCTTGAGGCGAATTTTTCACCAGCAAAAAAATTCGCCATAGACAGGAACAGGTGGTAATCACTTGGTGCCAGGTCCGGACTATAAGGTGGACGCAAAAGAACCTCCCAACCAAGCTCTCGGAGCTTCTGGCGAGTCACTATCGATGAGTGTGGCCTGGCGTTATCCTGATGGAACACAATTCCTCTCCTATTGGCCAAAGCTGGCCGCTTCTGGGCGATTGCTTCCTTCAGACGGTCCAATTGTTGACAGTACAGGTCCGAATTAAGAGTTTGGCCGTAGGGGAGCAGCTCATAGTAGATAATTCCCTGCCAATCCCACCAAATACACAGCAAAATCTTCCTGACCGTCAACCCTGGCTTGGCCACCGTTTGCGCCGGCTCATCGCGATTCGACCACGATCGTTTTCGCTTGACGTTGTCGTAATTGACCCACTTTTCATCACCAGTAACCATCCGCTTCAGAAATGGATCGATTTTGTTGCAATTCAGCAGCGATTCGCAGATGGAAATTCGATCCATGAGGTTTTTTTGCGTTAACTCGTGTGGCACCCACACATCGAGCTTCTTTTTGAATCCAGCCTCATTTAAATGGTTCCAAACGGTTTTTTATGCAATGTTTAGCTCCTTGGCGATCGAAACGGTGCTTACATGACGGTTGGACTCGACGATTTCCATTATTTTATCAACATTATCGACAATTGGCCTCCCGGAGCGTGGTGCATATTTGACATCAAAATTACCGGAACTGAATCGACGAAACCAAAATTGCGCGTGATTGGCTCTTACAGTATCAGGACCATAAACACTATTCACATTTTTAGCCGCCTGGCTTGCGTTTTCGCCTTTATCGAAGAAAAACTGTAAAGTATGGCGTATTTTCTCTTTGCTGGTGTCCATCTTTGACGCGCGCTCAAACAATACTGAGTCAAGCAGTCACAAAACTGTCTGAGAGCTTTTTTAGTACGAAATCTTATCTTTCTAACGCCATCTGGCGTAATCCGATCGGATTTATACAACGCGAGATACAGATTAGTAAAGCCCTCTATTGGAAAAATAATGGATTACTTTTTACTAGACCTAATACTTACAATGATAATGTAAGTGTAGTCGCAATACTGTCTGTTCGCAAATTAGAAGTGTCATTCTTGATATCGCAAAAGTAGATCATGGCAGTCAACTTGTCGAATTCGTGCCTGCTTTTTTTTCTGTAAATTGGCAAGAACACATTTGGTATCTTGTCGATGTACAATGCATTCGTGTTGTGACGCGTCGCGAAGTTGCGTTGCAGAGTATTCATCGATATCCTGACGACAATGTCCAAGGACTGGCGCGAATACTCCAGCATGTACGCCATGATCGACAAAGCGGTGCTGTCGCATCGTTGCTCCAAATTGGTCATCGGTATTTACGCGACGGCGGTGTTGCTTTACAGCACTGCGTCCATCGATTTTAGGAAGAATGTCGATAGCGATTGCCGGGAGCTGCTTATAAAAATGGAGCTACCCTTCGTCTTCTGTGAATCACCAGTTTATGAGATCATCATGTTCATGCAGTTCATCCATCTGTTGGCGGTCGCCTTGACTATAAGTGTGATCGATGCGTTAATTGTTACGCTGGTAAGTGGAGAAAAGGGAGAAGGATAGAACTCGACCGGTCAATTTGTCAAAATTCTGTCAACTCGTCAAAACGTTACAGTCTTTCCAGCTGTAGCCGGTAAGTTGAAGGCAACGTTAGAGTTCTACCCTTCTTTCCTTCAAGGAAAATTTCTTGGCCGAAGCCCGAAGTAATTATATTTTTTTTTCTTCCCTATTAATTTAGTTAATCAAATTTAGTTGGCCGGGAAGTATACATTTTTTGTGTTAGTTTAGCTATCTAAATTTAAACGTTCATCCTCAACGCCAATTAGTTATATGATTTTGGGTTCTGAATTCATCCGAAGTAACTTTCACCTCTACTAATTGCAGAGGTTACTTAATCTGTACGCCACGACAAGGCGTATGCAGGTAACGTACATATCGAATATGTAAAAACACTCACAGATGAGTAGGCTGGATCCTGAACATCGAAGAGCGATCGATATTCGTTCCGCGAGCCTATCCTTTCTATTATGGAAGTCCGTGAAACTTGTGCCCTTCGTGCAACTCCCGCCACCTGGCAATATCTACACGCCTTCGATTCGCGATCCTTGCGTGCGTCGACGGAACGTTACGTGCGAGGTTGTGGTCTCTCGCTGTGGCGAGACTGCAGGAGGGGATTCCCAAAGTCTTTCTTTAACGTATGGCTTCCGGTTGCTTCGCATATGCTGTCTTTCCTCGTGATGTGAGATGGACACAAAGCCTCTTAACCACATTCTTTTTTCCTTTACTTTAGACTTTTTCTGACCTTTACGTTGTCCAGTTACCATGGTGGCTTCATTTGGGACCATTCGTTAGTGTTACTGATTTTAAGTGGTTTTAGTATGTTAAAACGTTTTACAGTTTTGCTGACTTGAAATAAAGTGATACAATTTCCATGCGTTTTCCATTCCATAGCAGGTGAATAACGAAACTATACGGCAAGTGAATAACGGACGACGTTACGTTCCAATATGTACTGCCAATGCTGGAAATCTATAACATGAACCATTGATTTTCAGCGTTGGTAATGAATTTTGGAATATAACTTACATGTTATCTATGTATCGGCGGTGTTGCCATTTCCACGCCACAATTTCCCCTCCATAGCATAGCACTGACAGAATTTATAGCAAGACTATGTATGTATATATGTACATGTACGGGATGGCCCCTAAAATAGTTTGTTGAAAATGAGTACCTGGAAGATCTCTATAATCGACAAAGTTCAAGCTCGCACACTCAACTACAAACATAACAATTTCTGCCGACAATCTCAACGTTCTGTGCAAGCAAAGGATAGTACTTTTGCACTTTACCGAATGTTCCAGGCTAGGAAAAAATAGTTGGTTAATCATTAGAAAGCCCGGAAACTCAACGTTCATTGCAAAAACTATGCACGCAAAAATTTACTATTTTTAACATAACCCGTTCACCTCTTTTTTGCGTTTTTTTTTCAAAGGGGTCAGCTCATCAACATGTATAACTGATTATCGTAATACGTAGATGCTGCACATCGGTGGACAAATAGATATCATTCATCTGCAGTTGGACGCGATCTGCAGGAAGGACGGCGAGTACGGCTTATCCACAGCCGTCGCCAGGTCCTTGATCAGTAAGCATCATAAAATCATTGCTTTCTCGGACAGCATCGAGAAACTCTTCAGCAATATCGCGCTGATGCAATTCTTATCGAATACAATGATCATGTGTTGCATCGGATTTCTCGTGGTAACAGTGAGTACTCGATCCACTTGAAACTTCGTTCCGTAAGTGCTGAGTACACAGCAACATTTTCATTACACTAGTCGCGATTTTTCAGAAAAGTTACGAATGTCTGCGTACCTCAATTTAGCAACTGGCGTGTTTATTTGTGTATATATGCATTTAATATATCCAGCGAGTTCCCAACCACCTGAAAACAAATAATAGTATATATTTTTAATTGCACTTTTAGACTTTATTGTATATTCCTCCGTTTTTATACGTTTCTACTTTGAATATCATTCATCGATATCTCATCGAACGCATATCGACATTTTTATTGATTGTTTTTCTTGATCGATTTGTTTGATCCACAGACATTAGGTACCACTGATGGCATCAGGATGTTGATAAAGACCTTCTTCTTCTACATTGCCATGACAATGGAGTCGTTTATTTTTTGTTTCGCCGGGGAATACTTGAGTAATAAAGTGAGTAATACATGAAATTGTCGCTAATCCGCTAAGTGCTCTTTTAATTTTCACATTGGGCTGTTGAAACGTCGCTGGGTTCTGTTGCTGTTATAAAAAATATATCTGATGCTTACATACAAAAATGAAGCACCGTTTGTGCGCCGAGGAGGACATGTTGTTCTGCTTCCACGCATTTGCCTGTCGTTTGCATTGTAGAGTAAAACGGTCGGTGATGCGGCATACGAATCTCTTTGGTATGTTCTCAAGCCGCAGGACGGCCGCATTTTGTTGCTCATGATAATGAGGTCGCAGCGACGGCTGACGATCACCGCGGGGAAATTTATGGATCTGTCACTGCAAGGATTCACGAACGTAAGAGTTTAGTAACGATGCGATTTCATGAAAAATCAACAATGCAATTGTTGATTTTTATGCCGTCTCTTAAAATTGTCTCGAAAGGTCTGCATTGTTATTTTTATTACGCGCTTTGATACTGAAAATAATTCTATATATGTCTGATATTAAATGTGATTACGTATGTGTGTAATGTTAAGAGTTATGTATCTTGTAATGCACAATTTCAGAAATTGAATCAACACTAAATGTTCATATAAAAAATCTATATGTTCAAGTTCTATATTAATTAAGTTAATTTAATTATAAATTATTTAAGGACAATATATTTGACAATATAACATGGAAAAGTAATGCCGGAGATATTTTATTCCTATGTCATATATATGATTTGTAATAATTATCAAACATAATAACAAGTAAACATTACTGGTATTCGTATTGTTTATAAAGCTCCAACCATTTCGTTGTATCGACTTATTAATACAATGAACTGATTTATCCTATTCCATTTAATATTTCAGAGTTTGAAAGCCTCCGCGTCCTACATATCCGTTTTATATGCAATGTATTGATGCCGATGAAGCTTAGAATTATACACGCTGTTTATTGTAAACTGTCTAAGTATTGTTATTATATTGTTATTATATTGTTGCTTACAATATAAATATGTTATAACAAATAATATTGAACATTTTGGATGCAATGGCGATAGTACATATAAATATAGGCCTACACATATTTCTCTTATTATAATATTCTTTGGTTACCAATTTTATTGTATTCGTTAATGCTATTATTAATGTGTCATAAGTCGTCTCAGGTAGCACGACAAATATATGAAAAACGTTTATCAACCGAAGAATATTAATCACGTAGCAATAAATTTTTTCACAACACACGAACAGCACTTCGCCAGATTCGAATCGAAAAGAAAATCCTCACTCTCGACAATGTTGACGAGCACAGAACTCTGCGTGGTGTTTCACGATTGTGCTGAGTATATTGGACTCCCTCCTTCAAGCAGTCCTCCTCCATTTTGTTCTCAGTTGAGGCTACATAACTGTGTGCATAAAGTTGATTCCGACCGCTTTTGCAACCGCTTGCATTTTTAAAGCAAATAACGTCGTGACTGCACCTCCTCGCGGTGACGTTCGCCGGCGAAGAGCGCAAAACTTATTACCTCGTTACTTATCCTCCACCGACAAACCTGAAATCATAGTCACCGTAGTTTCCTCTCTCTTGTAACATGCCACGTGTGTACGATGAATAATTTCGATGGCCGGTCGACGACCAACGGAGGGTTCCCGCTTGGACGACGACCCCGCCAGAATCCTTGAAGATTATTCGAAGTTGCGTAGTGGCCGAGCGGTGAGATTTCGATGCTGTATCGAACTTCTAACGATGTGGTAACTTTTGGAGGGTGCCACGATTAACGGCGACACCGAAATAGGCGGGAGGGTTTTTTGTTGTCACAAGCCTGCCGGAGACGCGACTTTATTAATTACGGGCGAACGCAAAATGAGCTTCGCCCGCACCGTGAGCCCTTCCGTTGAATTCGGGCTGCGCGCGATCGGGATTTGGCCGAGATCTCCGTATGCCGTCTTGTTCCGTGTCTTTTGGACAATCTCTTTGGGCGCCGCTCAGACCTTTCAGTTCCAATATATTGTCGGCTGCATCCGAGCTAACGATTTCCTCAATCTGGTGGACAGCGTTAGCACCACGCTGCCTTACAGCTTGCTTTCTCTGAAACTGATCATTCTCTGGCTGAATCAAAGGTAAGGCGTTCTCTCACGCATCTCGACGCGAGTTGAAAAGCAAGTTTCAATTGAGAACGTTCTTCAAATTGAACATGTTCATTCGACGAATTATTTCCCATCAGAGAGGTGAGAAATTAGTTGATCCGCGCGCGGAGCTGCGATTCTCTTCGGCATAATTTCAACTTCTGTCGGATAGATTCGGGTAGTTAGCGCGACAGACATTAGGAATAATCTTTTCAGGTTAATCAACGATATTTTAACGTCGATGTCGCAAGATTGGCGCGACTGCGGCGCTATCACTTTCAATGTGCGCACTATGATGGACAAAGCGCACATCTCGCGCCGATGCTCGATGCTGATCATCGCAGTATACTCGATGGCCGTTGCGGTCTACGTCTCCGTCATAATGGAATTCAACCACATGCATTCTGACGAGCTCAGCAACGAGGAGCAACAGCTCTTTCTTAAGATGGAGTTCCCCTTTGAAGACAACGTCTCCCCCGTCCGTGAAATCGTTCTGTTTGTTCAGTTTATTCAACTGCTGAGTAACGCCTCGGTAATTGGGATATTGGATGCATTCATCATGACGCTAGTGAGTTTCTCATTTGTCTTGTTGAATATATTTTCATCATTTAAGAACATAAATCATGATTTTCCGTTTTGGCGAGCACGTCGAGAAATGTCAATGAAAATCGATAGACGTCTTGATTCAAATTACTCGCAGTTAGCGATCCCGCCTTGTCTGAAAATCTTTGGAAAATCTGTGAAATCTGCAATTTTTTGAAATCCTGAAAAATTAAGAGAAGTCTTGAAATTATCGGATCTGCGGGAATACAATGCGGTGTCTTGTTTTTAGACGTTGCACATCAGTGGCCAGATAGATATCGTGTGTCACGATTTGTGCGAGCTCTTCTCGCGAAAATATGAATACAACTCGTATAAAGGAGCTGCGGGCGTGGTTATTCGCAAGCATCAGAATCTCATCGCGCTGTCGGACAGTGTCGAGAATTTGTTCTCTTACATCGCTCTGATGCAGTTCTTCACGAATACGCTTGTCATATGTTGCATAGCTGTCGTAATCGTTATAGTGAGTGTCTCTTGTAGATACATCTTATATCGTTTAAGTGCGATATTTCTAAGTGCGTACTTACCAGTAATAATCTCCAACGTTTCAGTCGCTCGAAAATGATCAAGGATATATTCTATTCTTGAAGTCTCTGTTCTTTTATATTGCTATCACTCTGGAAGCATTCATTTTTTGTTTTGCCGGGGAATATCTCAGTAACAAGGTTTGAACTATTTCTTATAGAAACGTTAAAATAAGAATACGAATACCGGGGTACGTACTTAACTTGGATCTCTTATTATTTTGAATAATAAGTTTAAGTATGAATATTTAATCTTTCAACATAGAATATATATATACAAGGCGGGTCTTAAAGTCGCCATCTAAAATAACGTAATACATAATTTTACAGAACGATTTTTTAAACGAAAATGAAATGATTTCGAAGGAGCTGTACTCTTGTCAACTGATTTTTTCTATGTAGAGACACCGAAGTCATATAAAAGTCAACTTCATTTTTTTTAATGGAGTCACATAATTTTGTTAACACAAATTGATTCTTTTGTTCATTCTGTGTATTAAAGTATTAAAATAAGACAATTGAAAATTTAATACATTTGAGATATTTTATTTTGGCGCCTTCACATGGAAAAAGTCAGATAACAAGAATACACTCGTTCAATTTGGCGCGGTCCGGAATTACCAGATCACTCAGATGATTATTTATATTCGCGAAGAGTTGCGATTTATTTACGCGGAAACATAATTGGAGAACTCCCTCTATAGGTATACTTGAAAGCTCCCGTGAGTGTACGTGAAGCTCAGCCGACGCCACTTTTACTTATAGCACGCGGGGGTATCATATTGACTAGCGCGTGCGCTATGTTGCAAGTGTTGTAACTTTCAGGCCTCATAACGTGGAACGTATTTAGTGAAAAATAATTTTATTATAGTTTTTAACTTATATATTTTTAACTTATAATTTTTGTGTAAAACTCTCTAGGTCGGTAACAAAAGTATGCAATCAAAAATAGGAATTCATATTAAAAGATTTCAAAGTAATTTTTATATAACCTTAACGATGCTGTTCAAGGTCACACTAAGATTGCTACATAATGCGCCATTTAAAACCTTATAACTTTTATATAAAACATTTTTCCCGAAAATTATTTTCAAAATAATTGATTGTATTATTTAAAATGAAACATTTTGTATAAATATTCTGAATTGAAGTTTTAAATATATGTATTTAAATAAAAATATGCAAGGTTAGGTGTGTGTTCAGGTGTTTTTTGCCTTAGCTATTTAAACAATTCAAAATTTTATTTTGCCAAAATAATTATTATGTGAGTTTTTCGACACGATGATGCAATTTCTGGGATTATGATTCTTTTTGCGGGGCAAAGTTGTGCGCTTAAATATTTCTTTTCTATACAAAAAGTACAATCTTGTCTAGTTTTTCTCTTTCCAGAGTAAATCAATTGCGAATGCTGCTTACGACGTGCTTTGGTACGACGCGAAACCCAGTAAAAGTCGAATTTTATTGATTCTAATGTTGAGATCGCAAAAACGATTGACTGTAACAGTTGGGAAATTTAACGACCTGTCCTTGGAAGTCTTTGCGGGCGTAAGATGTTGAAGATTATGTGTATGTGTGTGTGTGTGTTTCAGATAATATACCCTTTCTAGTACACAGAAATATTATATTTCAGATTTTAAAAGCTTCTGCGTCGTACGTATCGGTGCTACTTGCGATGTCTTGAACAACGAAGAAATATCAAATATCAAATGTATCCGTGTACACATGTATATCATAGACGTATATATATATACATATCATCTCATTATAAGTTGAGTATTTGAGTATTTTATATATTCTCATGTATCATATTTAATTGTTCTTATACATGTTTCATTTTTTCTCCCTTATAAATTTTTTCGTAAACGTGAAAATCTGCATGTTGGATACAATTCGCACGAGATACAATTTAAAAATATATAACAGCATTTACCTTACTGTGTGTTTGTACCTTTGCACTAGTGCATAGTTTTATTAAGACAAACATTTGAGATTTTCTCGTTCCGTTATGTGTTAGATGCTATTACATCACCGTACACACGAATATGTCAGCTTGTAATGGTAAACGTCATAAGATTATTTTAGACGGCTTCTGATCACCGGGATTACCTTGAATTTCATTATTCATGTGTCCGCACATACATTTCCAAAACTTTACATTTTAATATTTCGAACTTGTCGTCTCTTGTTGCATTTTTTTGTGTCGATCATACCGATTTCTTTATTTCAAGTCGATCTTCCACAAAGATCCGCCACTATACGGAAAACTCTTCTCGACGACGGTCACACTGACGATCTTTACTCGCACAAGGGCACAACCACACTTTTCCTCGTTTCTTGCATTTTTAAAGTAAATCACCCGCGATAACCACGATCGGCGACTCGCTCGGCTCCCGGAAGTTACCGCCAAGTAATTCTTCGTTCTTCCCGAAGTCTGCAATCATTCTTCGATCGTCGCAAACTTTTTTCCACGCATTCCTAAGTATGTAATGAAAATACATGTCTAACATTTGCGATTCGTCGGCGGCGGCCAAGGTGGGGCCCGCATCCGATTGTCTATATTAATATTTTGAGGCTTATCCTTCGGTGAACGGTCGACATTCCGAACAAAGCCGCGTTTGAGGACTCGCGGACCCGGCTCGACGTCGCGGAAGCGGAATCTCAATCTAACGCAATGATACCGACCAGTACCGTCAGTCGATCGGTGAAAATCGGTCTCTGTCTCACCGGAGTATGGCCGAATTCTTCGGTCTTGTTCAAGTTGCTCTGGACGTCGGTGATGGGAACAGGATTGATCTTCCAATATCATTACGTTCTCAATCACTTCAGCGCCGATGATTTGTCGAATCTTATTGAAGGTTTGAGCACCATTTTGCCACACAGCCTTCTGCTCTTCAAGTTGGTTGTTCTGTGGATCAATAATCGGTATGTATTTTGCTATGATGTTATTTGTATGAAGTGGAGGATAATATTTCTATGGAGTGCGTGAAAGATTGAAAATAGTCAACGTTGACTGCCAAGCGAAATTATCGTTTGAAGTATCTTGTGATTTAATCGATTAGCGGCCCATTTGCGGAAATGTTTCTTTCCGTCTTTTTAATATATTCATTTTATGCATTGAGAAAAAACGGCTGAATCGACAAAATCGGGGCTCACCCTTATTCGTAAAATATTGTGTCTACTGAATAAATTACGCATTGACGTAACAATACAATAATAATTGTGTCAGTATAGTTGCTGACCAAATTACAATTGTTAAATCAAATGATAACTCATTCCAAAAATTATGATTTATTCAATGGATTACATATTATGCTTGAACAAATTTTGTTCGTTTAAGCAAAACTTCGTTGGTTCTATTACTTTCTTCTTCAGTGTATAATTCCATTTTTGTTTTTAGCACGTAATTTAACTAATACTCTCAACAAAGTAATTCCAACACCAATCTGAAACATTTGTTCTAAACAGACTGGTCCTTTAATTAAAAATATTTGTGAAATAATTATGACTTTTGATGAATTAATATTTTGTTTTTACTTCATTCATTAAATTATTCTAAGATAAAAATAAACGCCATACGTTTATTATTGCTTAATGATATAAAATTTTGGAGCTCAGATAAAATGATAATGTAATAGCAGTATTCACTGTTCGTAAATTATAAGTGTCATTCTTGATATCGCAAAAGGTAGATCTTGGCAGTTAACTTATCGAAATCGTGTCTGCTTTCTCTTCTGTGAATTGGCAAGA